TATTATATTATATTATATTTTCTTATAATTTATTATTGTTGTTTTGACCTTAATATTTTATTGCTTGTAGTTTAAACACTCTATTCATTTTTATTCCGTAATCCTGCCTCGATCCGTAGGGAGAGGTGCGAAATATACATTATTATTATTACTAGGTTTTATGCAACTTCTATATTATTGTTTTCTTATTGTATTCTTTTATTTCTATGCTTGTAACCTGCCTTGATTCCCTTTGGAAATAGGTGGCCTAGAAATAATTCATATTATTATTGTTGTTGTTATTATTATTAAATTATAATTGTCATTAATTTTACCTTTAAATACTATAATTATATTCTCAAATTGTTATTACAACAATATTAATATATATATATATATATATATATACACATATATATGTTATATAACATTATACTATTTTAATATAATATTGTTATTATATTGTGTAATAGTTATATTATTATTAAAAGGGATGCGGTGGCTCAAGTGGTTAAGGCACTGAGGACCTAAGCAGACGGGCAGCCGTGGGCCACCGTGGGAAGCTGCGCCGCGGGACCGAGGCATCCCCATGTCTCGATCCTGCGGTGCAGCTTCGCCGCCCCTGAAAGGAGCGCTAAATTAGCGCTCCTTTCACAAGTCACTGAAAGTGTGCTGCAAAAGGCTGCGGCACACTTTCGGCGACTTTTCCGCCGCAGCGTTTGCGAACTCTGCGACGGGAGGTCCTCCTCGGAGCGCCGGCCGTGCGGAGGACCGGCTGCTCCGAGGACGACCTCGGGAGGGGGTTGGGGCGCCGAGCGTGCAGCTGCCCCTCCCCTTTCCTGCCCCCAAGATGGCCTTTTAAGCGTCTGCTTAGGCCTTGACTCTGTGGATTGGAAGATTGGCAGGTTGGCACTTTGAGACCCGGGTGCTGCAGGGTGGGATGAGTTCTTTTACAGCTATATGCAAAACTGTGAGCACTCCATATTGGAAAGGAAGAGCAAACCATATTAAAATAAAACAGTGGGATATTGGCTGTTTGAAGCCCAGGTGCCGCATGATGGGGTGATCTCCCATCACTAGTCCCAGCTTCTGCCAACCTAGCAGTTCCAAAGCATGCAAATGCAAGTAGATAAATAGGTACCACTTTGGTGGGAAGGTAAACAGCGTTCTGTGCCGTCATGCTGGCCCCAGGATCACAGAGGAGTCTCTGACAATGCTGGCTCCCTAGGCTTAGTAATGGAGATGAGCACCACTCCCTACAGTCAGACATGACTTGACAACCTTGTCAATGGGGAATAACTTTACCTTTACCTTTTTATTTATTATTCCTCTAAATATTATAATTATATTCTCACACTATTGTTATTGTCATTTATTATAATAATGTTATATTATGATGACGGTTAGTATTAAATACTATTTATATTATACCATGTTATAATACAACATATTATTATAATATATTATTAATTTATTATTATCAGTTATACATATTTATTTTTATTTTTTATACCGCTAGATATTTTAATTATATTGTATCTATATCTATTACTGCATTATAGATATAGATATATCTATCATTGCATTATGTAGAGCTATATCTATGACTGCATTATAAATATAGTTATATCTATAACTGCATTATAGATATAGATATATCGACAATTGCATTATAGATATTTATAACGCAATTGTACATATATAATATATATATATATGTATGTATAATATTCTCACAGATGGCTCTACACTTCATGCAGTTTGATGGGATTCTGGGATTTCTAAATTTGTGAGATATATTCCTGTCAAAGTGCTCTGGGGGTCCCAACGAACTATAAATCCCAGGATTGCCAGCAACGGCGGTAAAAAGCGGTGTCAAACCGTATTAATTCTTCAATGCGGAACGCAGCCTAGCTGCGCCTGCGCACTACTCTTCCTATCTTCTCGTGCCTTTCCCCCTCAGAGCTTTTCTCGCGAGACCAGCCGAACAACAAGGTTCAGCATATCTGCGCCTGCGCATTACTCTTTTTTTCTATCTTCCCGTGCCTTTTTATAATTCTTCACAGCAGTTCTCGCGAGAACAGCTAAGGCGAGCGTAGCTGCGCAAGCGCAACACCCTCTACTTTCTACCTTCCCAAGGCCAAAACACTGTCGGCCAGTTCTCGCGAGAACAAGCCCAACCTCCGAGAAGACCGTTGCCACAGAGAGATGGAGGGAGGAGGGGGAAAGCGCCGGGTCACGTGGCCCTGACGTCCCGCCCTATCAGGGAGCCGGAGCGCGAAGCCCTTCCGAACTCCCGCCAAATACAAGCGCGGAGGGAAGCAAAGGCGGACGGCGAGCGAGGAGGGCCAAAAAGCGAAACTTTAAAAAGAAGCGCTCCGCACCGAATAAGGAGGAAAGGAAAGAAAGAAAGAAAGGGAAGCGGGCGAGGAGCCGGAGAGGGAAGCCGGGGTATATGAAGGGAGGAGGAGGAGCAGCCAGGCTTCCCGCCCTTCTCGCCGGTCCATCTGTCAGCGGAGGGAGCCGAGGCAAGGAGCCCTCCTTCCTCCTCCTCCTCCCGCCTACTCTTTCCCTCCGTCTCTCCGGTAGGTGAGAGGAAAGGCCGGCCAGAGGCGGCGGGTATTGGGAGGGAGGAAGGCATGAAGTGCTTGTGGGGGAGGGGAGGGTGAGCAGAAGTAAAAGTATTGCCTCTGAGGGAAAAGCATTATTGTATATAAAAGTACTACCTCAG